CACTTCACTGCCTTTACTCCACTGTCTTTATCTGCCAATAGCTAGGGCTTATAGAGCACTTTAAGGTTTGTGAAAAGCTTTACAAATATTTGTCTCATTTAATCCTTACAACAACACTGGAAGGCGTGTGCCATTATCATCTCCTTGTTGCAGATGAAGAACCTGATGCAGATAGAGATGAAGTGACTTGCCTAGGTTCTGAGCTGGCTTTGAATGCAGGTCTTCCTGACTCCTAGTACAGTGCTGTGTCTGCCCTGCCTAGCTGCCTCTGAGTGGGGGAGGGGATTGGAATAGCCGGGCATCTCGCGTCCCTTCTACTTCTAACAACCTGGGACTAAAGAGCTGCCCCAGAAACTGGACGGTTCAGCAGTTTGCCCAGGGTGGGTGGGGAACTTGCAGCCTCATGTGGCCCTCTAGATCCTCAAGTACGGCCCTTCGACTGAATCCAAACTTCACAGAACAAATCCCCTTAATAAAGGATTTGTTCTGTAAAACTTGGATTCAGTCAAAGGCCGCACCCCAGGACCTAGAAAGCCACGTGTGGCCTCGAGGCCACGGGTTCCCCACCCCTGGCCCAGGGTAACCGCTATGTGTCAGAGGCAGGATAAGACTTGAATCCAAGTCTTCCTGTAAGCATCTTTTGAGTAGTGACTGTTTCATTTTATTGTCCATCTCCTCTGAGCCTAATACAGAGCCTGGCACAAAGTAAGTGCTTAATAAATATTTGCTGATTGATTGGTTAGCTCTGAGCCAGGCTCTGTCTCTACTAAGCCATGCTGCCTTTCATGGGAGATCTGTACTCAGTTGTAAATCAGATATTAGTGTCTAGATGAGAGGATAGGGCTGAAGGTTTATACTTGGTAGTCATCAAAATGCAGGTGATGGTTAAAGCCTTGCAAGTGGGGTGGATTTTAAGTGCCAAGAGTAGAGGGTAGAGGTCAAAGCTTGGTGGCCAGAGGCAATCATCAGAGAAGACATAAACCCCACAAGTATTCACACAACCAAGAAAAGGCAACATACTGAAAATTAAGGAAGAAGACATTGTCAAGGAGTGAGCGTTCAGTGGTGTCAAAAGATTGCAGAGGATGACCTTTGAGAGGGCAGCTTCCTTAAAGTTGTGGGTTATTTTCCTTTGTTTTCTTACAAACAAGAACTCAGAAACCAAGTCAGCATGCAGGAAGTCAAAGGGATGTTATATGTATGATTTTAATCTCAACATATTTTTCTTGTTAAATTTCTGCTGCTCTGCAAATAAAAGCACAGGAAAAACTGTGAATTGAACTTTATCTCAAGATACTGATGGCACCATAGCTCAGATGCTTAACTTCCTTTATCTTTGGAAAAATTTCCATTTGATCCTTTTAATGGTGTCTCCTGGGACATTTCTTTTAAATTTTGACAATAAATATCCATGCCCCCAGGGGAATGCTATTAATGTTTATTTAAAGGATTGTAACTTTCTCAAACAATTAACATTTTTCATAAAGCTTATAACTGTTCATATATGTGTAAATATACTTATTACACATACATATATGTTTAGTTTTAAAAAGCCACATGACCTAGCTACATGTTTTGGAAGCATGGGGGAATATGGGACAACAGAGGACATTTTCATCCTCACACTGAAGTTGTGCTGTGAAGATTTGCATTTTCTCTTTTTACTTTCTACCTGAAAGCTGGGCAGAATCAGTCTGATGTAGCTGGGGATAGAATCAGTGTTTGGCCTCTTTCTGTGTAAAGTCAGATGGATAGAAAAAAATATTTTGAAAAAAAGCATTGTGAACATTAAATTTTATCCCAGTTTTGCTATTGACTTTCTTGAAGACTTTCATCTCCAAAATGGAGAAAATCAAACTTTATCTTATTTATTTGCTTTCTAGTTAAAAGAATTAGTAGACTGTATAGTTTGCACATCTAGGGATTTTCCTCATCCCTATCCCTGCCTCTATCTGTCTATCCAGAGTGCTTCCCCATTTAGTCACATCCCTCCACCTCAAATTGTGAAGGCATTTCAGTGTCACGAGTTGTGTGGGATGGTACTTTTTTCCCTTCAAGGAAAAAACATTAGGAATAATTCTTGGCAACTACTTTGTAGGGATGTGTAGATTAACAAAGTAACCTTTGTATGAGGTCCTAAGTGGCTCAGTGATTTTTTTTTTGAATTCAAAGAATTACTTGTCACTGCAGGTTCCAACAATGTTGCTTCTTTAATTCTTTGAATCACTTATCCTTAACAAGGAGAAATACCAAAACCTCTGAAATGTTGAAGATGATCAGTGTCTCATATGCTTCCTAACAGAAAACCTCCATGTAATTAAAACCACGTTGTTAGCATTTTAGTAGGTTAGTATTTGTTCAAGTCCAGCAGCTGCAAAATAAACAGGTTGGTCAGATGCATTCAGAAAAGACAGAAGAAAAGGTAACTACTTCTCTTGAAATGAATGGCCTCAACTTTTGGAGCTTCTCAAAAGGTACTCATCTATGTCTCTTTCCTCTTATCCATATGTCCACATATATGTCACCCCTCCCCCAGTTTATTTCCTTATCTAATCTCACCTAAATGATTATAATAGCTTCTTAAATTGTTCTTTCCACTTCCAGGCTGCTCTCTTAATAAGCCATCCTCTAGACAGATCCGAGCATGTTTTTTCCCCTGCTCAAAAACCATTGCTTCAAGAGTGAAACACAAACTCTTCATCCTGGTATTTAAATTAGTTCCAATTTAGTTCCAAACTACCTTTATAACCTTATTGAGTATTACTCCCCTTTGCATAATCTACATTCTAACTGAACTCGCTGTTCCTTCAACTCAGCATTCCGTCAGGCCATCCCCAATGCCTGGAATAGGTGTTTTTTTTTTTTTTTTAGCATCTTGGCTGCTCAGCAGCTGTTTTCTGCATGGCTTTGCATGATTCCCACCTCTGAAATTTGTTAGTGTTCACAAATTAGTTTTAATTTATCTATATACATGTGTATATATTTGTATATGCACATGTATATATGTGTGTATATGTATACATACATACATACACACACACACAGAGTAGATGATAATCTCACTAGGAGCAGGGATTATTTCCTTTAAAATTTTTTTATCCTCAGTGCCAGTACAGCGCTATGTACAAAAAAGTAGATACTTTATAAACATAGGAAGACATGAGAGAGACAAAGATACCATACATTGCTGGGAAAATTGGGACAAATGTCAGCAACTTTCAGCCTTCTCTAGCAGCTCATTCTTTGCCATTCATTTAGAATCTAGGGGCTGATGGGAGAAAGTTAAAACATTTGTATGCCCTGTGTCACATGACTTCTTTTTCTATTGAATAAATTGATCTCATGGCATACTTTTCTCAGCCAAGAGGTATGATAAATCGTAGGGACTAAAATGGGTTTCTAATCATAAAAAAAAGGCAATTTGTGAGGTAACAGGGGATAAGGAAGTTGAGAGAAGTGTTATTAGAAGCATTCAGAAGAGGAATGTAGTTAACAGGAACGTGAAAAAAAAGTTAAAAAAATGTAACCTGTGTTTCTGTACTTATTGGTACAATCTAGAGGAGATAAAGAATTCCTGAACTATTGGCTGAGAGCAGACTAGGAAAGACAAAGCTTTTGGCTATTGGTTGCCTGAGGAAATCTCTGCAGAGGAGAGGTTTATTTACCACAGTACCACCAGAGGCTGTAAGTTAGAATTGTAGATAGCTCTCAAGAAAGTACACTGGCTGAAAACTAGAGATAAGGCACTCATCTGAAGGAATCTGAAGGATCAGTCTTATAGAAAATATATTCTTCCTTCAGGGAAAGGTTTATTAACCACAATGGATGGGAAGAGAAGCTGAAAGTACTGTCAAGTAGATCAGCTAGAGCAGGGTCACGGCACTTGCCAGGAGCCAGTGAAGATTATCATGATGATATCACTAGGAAACATTAGATCACAGAAAAGAAAATGTATAATTTTGATTATGTACAATTAAAAGATTTTTGCACAAACAAATCTAATAAAGCTAAGATTAAAGAGGGAAACAACTGGGAAAATATTTGCAGGAAATTTCTCTGATAAAGGTCTTATTTCCAAGATATGTAAGGAACTAATTCAAATTTAAAAATAAAAACAAACTATTCCTTAATTGATAAATGGTTTAAGAAACTCAGAGTTTTTTATAGTCATATTAAAAATGCTTCAAATCACTACTAGTTAGAGAAATGCGAATGCAAATGAAATTCTGAGATGCCACCTCTCACCCATAAGAATAGAAATGACGACAAAAAAAAGATAAATATTAGAGGGGTTTGGGGAAAACAGGCACATTGATGCACTATTAGTGGACCTGTGAATGGGTACAAACATTCTGGAAAGCAGTTTGAAATATACACAAAAAGTTACTGAACGGTACATGCCCTTTGACCCAGCTATATACATTGCTAAACCTATACCCAGAATACATCAAAGACAGAAAAGTCCTTTATGTACAAAATATTTATAGCAACTCTTTTTTGTGGTGGCAAAATGTAAACTAAGGGGATGCCCATCAGTTGAACAAATTTTGAGTAAGTTGTGGTATAGGAATGTGATGGAGTACTACTACTGTGCTGTAAGAAATAAGGAAATAGATGAAATTTTAAAAATGACATGGAAAGACTAATATAAAATGATGCAGAGTGAAGTAAGCAGATCCAGAACAACTTAGAATATATCAATATTATAAAAATGAACAATTTTGAGGACATTTATAAAATAATGAAGAATGAAATGAGCAGAATCAGGAGAACAATTTATATAGTAACAATACTGTAAAAACAAACAACTTTAAAGCTTTAAGACAAAGGTTGATGATAAAACATGCTACCCATAACAGACAGGTGATGGATTTAGGGTGTTGATTAGACATAGCTTTTTTATATACACCCATTTTGTTTTGCTTGACAGCCTATTTGTTATAATTTTTTTTTCTTTTTCTGTAGAATGGGGAGGGAGGGAGAGAAAATAGGTTTCTATCATTTTTTTCAAATTAGAGAGATGGAAGGGTGTGCTACAGATGTGAAATGTTGTCTGCACTTTCAGATGAAGTCATTGTATCTCATTAGTTTTGCTCTACTCTTATTTTGTAGTAAGAGATCTCTCATGAAGTGGGAGCAATCGGCAAATATTTCTAATGTAAAACCAAAACATCTATAAAACTTAAATTAAAAGTTTTTTTTATTGGCAGTTTTGCAGTATTAAAGAATGAGTTACCCTTCCATGAGTATGCCCTGGGTGTACACATTCCCTTTGTCTTTGTTTCTCTTTGTGAGGGAGGTTAGTGTTTTTCACTGGAAAATGACCAAAAAAACGAAGTCCAAAAAACTTGGCCTCTAAGAAAGGAAGAATTTGCATTATTGTCTTTTACAGCAGCATCCATAAAGTGGTGACTTGCTGGGTAAGGTAGATGCCCTATACCTCCATGTGTTCCTCAGGTGTAGATGCTGCATGCATGATGCTTTTGAAAATCTACTCTTTATCTACTCTTTTTATTAAATGTGTGGAAGAGTGAGACCAAGATTATGAGGGGGAACATTATGTTGTTTTCATTTTTTCCTCCAGATCTATTATTTTACTGTTGTAGGGACCTCCTGGTCAGGAAACTACCTCTACCAATGCAAATCATTAACTGTTTTGCAGTTTATAGTTTTAGAGAGGGGGTAAGTGACTGGCCCTGGGTCATTCAGCCAGTATGTGTCAGAGCCAGGATTTGGACCCACATCTCCCCAGATTCTCAAGTTCTACTCTTTTCCCATATTACATCACACTGCCATTATTTACAGCAATTTATAATCAAGGAGAACTCAAATATTATATTCTCTTTTCCCTCTGCCCCTCTTTAGTATGATCTTGCAAAAATATGATGGCTGTTATGGCATAAAAAGGACTGTTAGCTATTAGTAGGACTCATTCACATCTAGTATCTGCAGGTAGGCACTTTATTTCCTATAGTTTAGTAATCTTTTCACATGGGAGTAACAGATCCCTCTATATTAAATCTGAGAAAATACATACCATTAATAATTCTTTTTCTCTATTCACAAAGAATGGATTAAATTATATGAAGAAAATGTTTCATATGTCAATCACATGTACAGGCAGCCTATGGGTGGTCTTAAGCATGTTAACAGCTATATCTAGAGTGCATAACTTAATCTCTTTTATAGGTGTCCAGGGAAGGAAAATTATCAATTAAAAGGCTCTTGCTTTACATAAAAAAGCCTTGGTAGAGCATGAAGACATCCCTGTAATGATCCTGAACTATATTTCCTCTCTTCCTACCCCAAAAAGGGATTTTTAAAGCCTTAACTCATCCAGGTCAGGGCTATCGTCATTTTCCCAGGGGTAGAAATAACAGACCTTCTATCTTCTGAACCTGGAATTCCTTAGTAGCCTAGGAATCACTCAGGGTGATGTCTAGGATGTGAAGTCAGGGTTCATTTCCCCTCTCCATTAGAACACCTCTGGGGAAAGGCATCCCTCCAACAGTACACCTTCACTCCAGAAGAATAAGTAGGGCTGGGACAAAATCTTTTTTTTAAAATGATCTTTAGATGAGAATGATATTCCTTCTCATTTCTGGGTGAACCCCAGTGACTTATCCCAAATCTAGAACTCATCATGCTATAGGGTGGTTCCTGTCCCTACAATCCTAGACTATCTGGTATGCTGGATGGCACCTGCCAACCTGTTGCCCACATCGGGGAAAATCATACTTGCTCCAGCTGGAGTCCAATTCCATAGCAGAGGGTTTCATTACTTGCAAAACTGCTAGTGGTGGAGAATACCTCCCATTTGATCCCACATCACAGGGCTCAGTCTCCGTGTGATTAGCCTTCTGTGGCTGGAAATGCAACCAGGCTGTCTTCAGAGCATTCCCCAGCCTTCAGTTATCTCCCCTATTCAGTTCAGACTTTGAGGAATTTGTGTTTGGAAAGCAGCTAAATGCCAAATACCAAACGAGGCTCTCCTGGAAATGGCTTAGGAAACGTCACTCTTCATTCCTGCCTCCAGACTCTGGTAATTAAAAGAATGGAAATGGTTTCAGGTGCTAGATGCTATATCTTGTTCTACTAAGTATGTTTCCACAGGTGACTGGAAACAATTAAGAGCAGTCCCACTTTGAATGGAAATCCTGGTTGTTCAAGAGTTCAAATTCAACAGATATTTATTAAGTGCCTGCTGTATACAGACCACTATGCTAAAGCCTGGGAGATGTACAAAATGTAGTTAGGACATAGTTCCTTCTCTCATGAAGCTTACTGTTTCATAGGAGGAAAGAATTTGCTAGGGAAAGGAATTGAGAGTAATGTATATCATAGAAAGGCATTAATATCAGGCTTTACAAAACTATAAAGTAAGCCAGGAATCTGTTTTAGGCAGTTCTATTTTTTTCTACCAGGGTACTACGCAAGGAAGGAGTGAAGGCACATATTAAATGATATGTATGACTATTATCATACTGCATGGTAATTAGTCAGAAATAGTATCAAGATCTTGTCATTCACAGTCAGAAACCCTCACTCTCTCTAACCGTCTTTCTCCTCCCTTTTCTTTCCCTCCCTACTTCTTCCCTCCCCAGTGCTGCCAGCCCCTTCTATAAGGCTGAAATCTGACTGCTTAAAACCTGCAGCTTTGTCTAGAGCTCTGTGTAAGAATCTAATCTTTTTTCCACATGAAAATCTTTGCATATTTAAACAACTCTATCAGGTCCTTTCTGAGACTTCTCTTCCAGGCTAAACAATCCAAGTTTCTACAACATGTCCTTATGTGACATTAAACTCTATGAGCTTTGGTTTTTTCCTTTGTAAAACAGTTTGCCCACTTTATAAAGTTGTGAAAGATAATGTGTGAGTGTGCTTGTAATATCAAAAGTGCTACATGAAATGTAAAGGAAGGTTGGAACTCAGTCTGGGGCTTTAGGTTGTTAGTGTGGGAAATTCACAGAGAATCTTTCATAGGGCAGCTGTAACAGGATATTGCTATGCATGGAAAGATAAAGAAAGGTGAAAATTTCTACTATTGAGTGCCAACAGTCTGATTAGCCATTTGTTCATTCTTTAATTAATTTACTAAGTCTCAGTGAGATTGAGATGATTCATAGAATTTTAAGTCTAGAAAGGAGCTTACCAATCATCTGTCTCAATCCCCTTTTTTGTATAGTGCTTTTTCTTACAGGACCCCAGATTCCTATATAGAATGCTTTAGATATGGCATGATTTTGGAGCATCTAGGTGGTGCAGTGGATAGAGCCCTGGAGTTAGAAGGACCTGAGTTCAAATCCGGCCTCAGACTCTTATTAGCTGTGTGATCTTGGGCAAGTCACTTAACCACCCCATTGCCTCAAAAAAAAATGGTATAATTAAATTTTTTATTCTTAAAGCATAAACCTGAAAAGTAGGAAAGCAAATCAAAAGTCAAAGAGGACAAGCAGATAGGCATTAGAGGGGCAGGGTTAGAAAAGGAGTATAGATACTTCTTTATACTACCATTTATTTCAGGATATAGAAAGTGAGAGAAAAGTCATCTTTTGTGGATAGTGCAAAGTCACAGGGTCCTTTTGGAGGTCCTGTCTGAGAAGTATTGAGAAAGTTCTTAGTCACCTATCCTTTAATGGATGGTCCTCTCCCAGAATGCCTTTGCTTCATTTTTCCTTTCTTGTCAATGCAATTTGAAGCATGTGGGGATCAACACTGTCCAGGTAGGAGCAGCAGCCCTTAGTGAGACTAATTTATAATTCACATTCATTTAGAGCTGGAAGAGAGAGGAAAGCTTATTTCCTCTAACCCCTTCTTTTGACCTGAGGACACCAAAACTCAGAGAGAGGATAGGTGACTTATCTAAGGTCACACAGCTGATTAGTGGTGGATTTTGTTGTCATTCAGTTGTGCCCAACCCTTTGTAACCCCATTTGGGATTTTCTTGGCAAAGATACAGGAATGGTTTGCCATTTCCTTCTCCAGCTCATTTTTATAGATGAGGAAACTGAGGCAAATAGGGTTAAGTGATTTGCCCAGGGTCACACAGTCAGTAAGTATCAGAGGTCAAATTTGAACTCAAGTCTTCCTCTAAATACACTACTTCTCCAGAGAGATATTATTGAAATCTTGAAATGGAATAAATCCAGAGATTCTACTATGATGCTCAAGAATTAAAAAGGGCTTGGATCTCCCAAGACCTTTGGTCCATTTCCTTTCTTGTGAATAAATGGAGAAAGGCATAGGAATAATGCCTGTGGGGGGAGCTGGGATACGATACCTTTTTGTAATATGAAGTCCTTCGCAAATATGTTTCAGTTTCCAAAGTATCTGAACTTGAACCACAGTGAGTTTCCAACAGCTGAAGAAAACCAAACATTTGCACACTGCAATAGCTTGGGTTTCACATCTGCTGGGAGACTTGTTTCCCTGGATTGAAGCAGTGGCCAACAATGACGTGAGTCAGAAATGAAAGCTGGCTGGGCCATAGGAAAGCTCTCTTTAGCTAGGCTGTGCTAAGTCATGACAGTGTGTCTAAAACCTTCAAGAGCATTAGGAAAAAGTTGGGAGGGTGAAGAAATAATCAAATTTTAAAATATTTCAAGTGAAATATTAAGTTTTTTGTGAAAATCTGAGTTTGTAGCCTAAATTGTTACCTGATTCTCCAAACGTGGGTCTGAGGAGGGGGAAACCCTTTCTGCAGTGGATGTGGGAGATAGAGAATTTTGTTCTTTTCCCCCTCCTTCCTCACAGAGGAAAGTCTGGGGACCTCCCCACCAACTTTGCTGCTTCAGCTATTCAGAGCAAGCATATGATGAGGCCCTCTGAAACAGAAGTAGAAGAGAGAGCTATGACTCTGTAAAGTAGATCCAGTAGACATATAATTGTGTATAATATATCATAAAATAATAATCATATTGTATGCCTATGCCTAGAATGTTCTCTCTCCTCAGCTCTGCCTCTTGGAAATCCATACCTCTCTTTAGGGGTCATGTTATAGACCGTTTCTGATCCTCTTCATGCTGTCCTCCACCATTCCTAAAATTACCATTTATTTTCTTTGTATAAATTTTGTATTTACTGATTCATGTACATTAATAACACATAACACTTGTATAGTGCTTTAATGTTGTTGAAGAGCTTTACACACACTATTTCAGTGAATCTTCACAACAGCTCTGTGAGTAGGTACTGGGAATACCTTCCATAGTGTGCCTCTTGCTCCAGAGTTAGACTCTGGAGGTAACTGGTACCTCCTGCAGGGGGTGGGATGGGAGGTGCCAACAGAAGAACAGCATGGCAGAAGAGACTTAGATGCTGGCAAAGAAGTAACTTGTCAAAGATGAGGAAGAGAGTACGAGAGGGGAGCTTCTGGTGAAAAAGCAGTGAGACAGCAGAGCACCAATGTGGAGGAATGAACCCTGAGTACATCTATATTGCTATGCCCCATTATGGTAGCATTGTAAATCTCACTGACTACATAGACTCTGGGAGGGGAAGAGTTCTTGGCCACTGGGAAGGTGGATCTCTTGACTACCTGTAGGTTCATATGTAAATTGTTCATTATGGTATGCTCAAAATAGTACTACAAGTCATGAAGGACATTTTAGTCCCTAGGGAAGGTTACTATTCCTTTAATCTTTGTGGGCTCTGAAGAGTCTCTGACTTTTCTATGTAATTAAAATTGTTCTATGTTTTTAAGTCTGGTGAACCTGAGGGCTTGGAAAAGGAGCTCGTGGCTGCCTTAAAGACAGTGTTAGATACTGAGGTTGAGCCAGGAATTAGGTTAGTGATCAAAAAGAGTACCTCATGATAGGCTCTTCATGTCAGGAGGGAGCCTCTGACACAATGATTAAACAAATAATACTTTTTCCAAAGAGTCAATTCCAAGAAACTAGAAATAGTTTAGCTTAAGATTATTTCCATTTGCTTTCTCAGGGTTCAAAATGTAACTGAACATAGAATGAATTATTTTTAAAGGTAGAAATTAACTAGTATGAATGTCATCTGAGATTTTAAAAAGTCATTATACATATTTTGACTTAGGGAATGGGCTTGTGTCACCTGTCTGAGAATCATCTTTGAAAAACTGTAGTTTCATTTATTGCATGATGAGAAAATTGTTCTTTCATGCTGAAGCTTGTTCTTCAAAGTGTTCAGGTGCTTTATGATTTCTGATAAGATAGTGTTCAAAATTTTTTCTTTTTTTCCTGAGGATGGTTTTGTTAAACTTTATACTTTTGAGAAAGGTGTTTCCTTTGCTTAGACATCAAACACTGTATTAGAGGATGCAATGAACAAGTGATAGCTATCGTAACAATTTTCACATCATTAGGTATGATGTCATTAAGATTATATAAAGAAAAGTCATATAATTTTCTTGATGAATTTCTCAGTTAGCAGCCAAATTAGATCTATCTAAATCTGTTTCGGAGAAGTGAAAGAAAATCCTTTTTTGTTATTAGTGGTACCTTTGAAATTCAGAGAAAACCACTGATTTTTAAAATCCAGCTTTCCCCCGTTTCCTAAGTCTGTGAAAGTCAAGGTGATTTTTATTAGTTTATTCCATTTTCATAGTTATTGACGTTGAGGGGAAATGATACAGTCTTCTCTCATTTCAACTTTTAGTGAATGGTCTTATACAATTAATGCCAAATGGACAACATAATTCGGTTCTCTACCAGAACATAGACAAATCAGCAAAGTCACAGTTTACAGCTCATTTTTCAGTTTCCTGTGTTCTACTTCAGCGTTGTACAACCTGACTTCCCTCCATTCCAGACTCTTTACTGATCTACTTTTCTGAACTTCACCAATGTTCTTATCGTCAAATCCAGAGATCCAGAGAGTCCCTGATGCCTGTGACAACACTTAGTACTTCCTCCTTGAAACTTGACTGTTAGTTTCTGTACCAGTAGAGTGTCCAGGATCTTCCCCTACTTCTGTGGTCATTCTTATTTCATCTGCTGTCCCTTCTTCCTCTAGGATTTCCCCTGGATATCTATGGGTTGCAACTTCCCAAGGGAGTTTTTTGGGTGGCTTCTTTTTACAATCGGCACAAACAGTACTATTGTTCACCTGGCTTCAGTTATCCCAAGTTGTAGCTATAGTGATTAGGAGGTTGTAATGTAAACCTTATAGGGTTTGCAGCCCTACAGGTGTGGCCAACACAACTTCCACATATAATAAATATCAATCAATCAATCAACAAGTATGTTTAAGCATCATGTGCCAGATACTGTATTAGACTCTTGAGACACAAGAACAAGATGAATAACCCCTGCTTGAAAAGAGCTTACATTCTAATGAGGGAGACAAGTACATGGAAAATATATGCAGCACAAATGTAAAGTGAATCACTAGACACACTCATACACAAACTAGTTCAATACAAAGTATTGTAGGTGGGAGGGCACTAGCTGTTGGAGGGATCAGGAAAGGATGATTCATGTTTGGTCGTATAACTTCTTGGGATACAAGAGATATGTGTGGCTCTAGCTTCAATACAAGGTTCAGACAGTCTGCCTGTTTAATGGTACAAAAATGTCCTTGCTTCTCCTCTCTTTCCCATGTGCTATTTTCTCTGTTCTTGTTTAAAATTAGGGTAAAATGAATAACTTTAATGCAATGAAGGGATTCTTAATTCAGTTTAAAAAACAACCCTCTCTTTACTGCTCTTTACTCTCAGGAATTACACATGTTCTCTTCAAAGTTGTGAGGTGTGCTGCTCCCCAAGTCTTGGACATAAGCAGTAATTGGTTAGACTGAGTTAATTTTGAGTTAGTCACCAGATCCTGTTGATTCCATCTCTAAAAAATCTCTCAAAACTGTCTGGTCCTCACTGAATTAGAATCACGGAACCTCGGAGTTGGAAGAGACTATTGGAGTCATACTTGAACAATGGAGTCTGTGGTCTAATGGAAAGAACACTGGGTTCAGAGTCCGAGTTTCTCAGCTCTAATCTTAGCTCTGCCAATTGCTGCCCAAGTAGATAAATCTGGGATCTTATGGCCCTTTCTACGGTCTTCTGGCAACACTTCCAGATGGTACTTAGTGTTAGGAAGTTTTTCCTGACATCAAGCTTGAACTTGCTTCTTTGCAACATCCGTTGATTTCTGCCCCCCAAGCAGAAGGAGACAGTCTAATGACTTGTGTCTAATAGTCCTTCAAATACTTGAAGACAGACAGTTTATCATATCCATCCAAAGTCTTCTTTTCTCCAGGCTGAACATCTCCAGTTCCTTCAACCAGTCCTCCTATGTCATGATCTCAAGGTCTTTGACCATCCCCAGTGCCCTCTTTTGGATGCTCTTCAGACTCTTCCTAAAATGTGGTACCCAGACCTGAATGTAATGCTCTAGATGTGATCTGGTTACAACAGAGTCTAGAAGGATGACTGCCTGCCTTGTCTTATCACTTTAGCTATTTTGTTTGTCTGTTTATTAAGATTTTAGTTATTGACATTGGGGGGAAATGATACAGTCTTCTATCATTTCAACTTTTAGTGAATGGTCTTATATAATTAATGCCAAATGGACAACATGATTTGGTTCTCCACCAGAACATAGACAAATCAGCAAAATCACAGTTTACAGGTTATTTTTAAGTTTCCTATGTTCTACTTCAGCTTTGTGCAACCTGACTTCCTTCCATTCCAACTTGTTTACTTTGATATTAAACTTGAAGGCTTTGAGAAAAATCAACATACTTTTCAAAAGAACTCCTGTCTGTTTCCTCCATCTTGTACAGTCAGTGAGGTGATGTGGTAGACAGAGCATCAGGCCTGGAGTCAGGAAGACCTGTGTTCAAATCTGGTGTTAGATGCTTACTAGTTCTGTGACCATGGGCAAATCACTAACCTCAGTTTCATCATCTGTAAAATGGGGATAATAATGGCATGTACCTACAAAGGCCATTGTGAGGATGAAATGAGAGAATAATTGTAAAGTGCTTAACACAGTGCCAGGCACATAGTAAGTGCTATGAAAGTGTTAGTATCATTATTATCATTATTATTATTATTACTTGTGAGGTTGATTTTTTTAAACTCAAATGTAAGACTTGATATTTACCGCTTCTGAATTTCATCTAGTCAGATTCAGCCCAGTGGTCTCATTTGTCATAATTTTGGGGAACCCTGACCCTCTATCATTCAGCATGTTTATTAGCTGTCCATTAGCAGCTCATTCTACTTTAGGAGCAGCTTTGGGTGCTAGGAAGTTTCCTTTACAACCTAATGTTGTATCTCTGCAACTTCTGCCCATCACTTCTAGTTTCTTCACTTCAGGGCTGTCCACGATTGTCTTTCCTTAGGTGTATTTTCTCTTCCTAGGCCTTGGAGTCCTCATTTGTGACATAGAGGAGATGTTCTAACTTAGAGCCTCTTATTCCTTTTTTCACGTTTTGGAATCCTTCAAGTGACAGTCTAGTGAAGTCTAAGGACTCCATTTCAGAATCATGTTTTTAAAATGCATAAAATAAAATTCATGGGACCATAGAAGAAACCAATTATATTCAAACACTGTTATCAAAATACTCAAAAAAAAGTTCATAAATCCCAGGTTAAGAACCCCTGTTTGAGATGAATGATAAGGTTTCTTCCCACTATAAATCACATTTTTCTATTTTTTGACTTTTGTAAATATTAAGCTCTGACAGACTCTGATAAGCCATGATTGATTTATTATAATTTAATTGAAGCTCATTTACATGAATGTGCCACATCAACAAGGAATTTACATATGTTTTTTCCCGTTTACTTCTAATTGTGGAATGAAAGGCTTGGTTCTAGGAATTTCTAGTATTTCTAAGCGAGAGAGGAAATTTTATAGGGGTGGGGGTGAGGGGGGAAATGGGATGCTGGAATTATATTGCACTTACTCTGGTTGGTTTTAAAAGTAATATGAATTAGTCCCTTAGTATGCATTGAGTGGGAGAAGAATAGTCCTTGCTTACTTGCCTGGGGAGGCTGCCTGTTATTGTTGGAGGATACACATGTACCTTCCCCTCACTGGCTTATTCCAGAACCTAGAGCACTGCTTTGTGTTAGCATAGGTCTGCCTGCCAAAATCTACTCTTTCTCCAGATTTCCCATTCCCTCTTCTCTTCTAACACTGCCCACTATCTCCCTTTTCTGACCTTAACTCAACCTCTCATCTCTTACTTTTGCCTCAAGGTTCCCAGATACATATATTATGTATTTTGGCCAGAGCCTAGACAAGGCATTGGTATGCCAAAGGCACAGTTTAAAAATTGGAAATTAGAGCCTCAGGGTGTTACTGTCTCACCAGAAGTTTTGAACCCTCAATGATACAAATGTGACAACTTGTCACAAAACAAATAACTATGCCAGAGAGAATAAAATTTTCTGCCATTAAATATGTAGGCTACTTACTTTGTCTATCCTTCGTCCTGTGCATATTTCTGGAATGTAGTTTTATTTTGGTTAGTATTTAATGTTTTTCCTCAAGTACCTTTGCCTACCTACCCCAAGGTCCTGTTTGAGAGTTGGAAGGGACCTCAGATGACTTCTAATTCAACCTGTCCTGAAAAGGAATCCCTACTACAGCCTACCCCAAAAGTGGTTACCTGCTTGAAGGAGGGTAGAAATCTTACTGGGCAGACCATTCCACTTTTGGATGGCTCTAATTGTTAGGAAGTTTTTCTTGATATCAGGCCTTAATTTACCTTATTGTTGCTTTCATCCACTGTTCCTGGTCATCCTCCATATGATAATTCTTCAAATCCTGAGTTTCTGTAACCATGGTCAGTTTCTTCAACCCATCCTCAGATGGCTTACACTCAATACCCTTCCTCATCCCAGATGGTCTTCTCTGGACACTCTTCTTCTTATCAACATCCTTCTTAAAATGTGGTGCCCAGAACTGAATACAGTACATCAAGTGAGGCCTGACCACTGACCTACTTCTGGAAGTCATGCCTTTTTTTAATGCAGCCCAAGATTACATTAGCTTTGCTCCCTATTACACCATACTGCTGACTCATAAAGAGCTTACAATCTACGTTTTTCAGAACTGCTGCTTACTGTAAGTCCCTCATCTTGACCTTGTGAAGTTGATTTTTTTTTGTATCAAAGTATAAGACTTTATATTTACCCCTATTGAATTTTATCTTACTAGATTCAGCCCCAAGCTTCTGATTTCATAAATCATCATAATTTCACCAATGTATGAAACCTCCATTTACCCAATCCTCGATACTGTCTGCAGCTTTAAGGACCCCATCTCACGAAAGATATGATGAAGTGGGAAAAGATTCAGGTAAAGGCAACTAAAAGGATTTGATGGCATAAAAAAGATACCACAGGACTCTTCTTCCTGGGGATATGAAGAATTATAATAGATATGATCATAACCTAGTTAATCATGAAGAGAATGTGTAGGATGAATCCTACCTAGTTTATTAGATCCCTTAATACTACAACCTCAGTGGCATCCTTGAGATTTAAGAGAGAGTTTGAGGACAAATAAAACGGGATCACTTTACACAGTAAGTATTAAATTTGAAGAATTCTTTTAAAAAGTTCCTTGCTGCCTTTAATGTTTACATAAGTAATTTCTGTATTTCCCCCCCAATACATAGTAGTAGGGTCTGATTATGTATGTAGTATTCTATACCTAGAGACCCCCAACTTATTCAAGGAAAAGAGGAAAATCTTTTTTGAAGTCATTATTCTAAGAACTAGTATCAGTTGAAAAAATAAATAAGTAAAAGAAATCTCCATGGATTGTAGACCCGAAATGCATTAAAAGGGGGAAGTTGAGAATGTTTAAAAGGTTAGAGAAGTAGCCCCATAGGAGATATCGTGGATGGCAACTACCACATAATCCCACAAAACATCACGTGGGGCCCAGTCAAAATACTGGGATGGATGGAACACTTGTCTCATCCATTTTGGCGTTTCTTATATGCTTTTATGATCTCACTAACATGTGCTATTTTGTGATCACAAAGGGAAACCAAGCAATAATGTGTGGGTGGCTGGCAAAAGCACATTATGACCACTGTAAAAACAATCCAAAATAGACTTCTCAGTGGCAACAGATCGGTTGCACCATTTTGGTGTACAGAAGAGATTTCAGGATTTGGGACTGGGGTTTTTTCATGTTAGGAAGAACATCAGATTTTGTGGGCTGAAGAGAATTTTTGAAAACTAATGATTCTTTAAAAATAACTTTTAAGTCTGAGTTGTTCTGTTAATGACGCAGCCACTCCTTCTGCTATTTAAAAAAAAACCCACAAAAAACCTGTACACAAATGCACACACAGATGGAAAAATAAATATGGATTTTGGTAACAGATTTTTGACCTAGTGACTCAGAGGATAAAAATCAAATTTTAAGTGCTATGGAATGACACAAAGTTGCATGAAGCACTCTGCTCATATACATATAAACAGATGCATACACAAATCACATTTAGGCTGCTGTGATTTTTTTAAAAGTCACTTTTCTTAAGTGGAATAGATGATGTCCAATAAATGTAGCCTTAAAACAAACACCATCTCCTTTGCGGGATTCCTTTCTTCTTATATCTGCTTAATAGATTAGTTACTTGAGTATTGCAGCTAGGTGAGAAATAAAGTTCAGTGAGTATATTTGAATTAAAAATAAGTTAACATTTATTACTATGTGCCAGACCTTCTGGGAAAGATACAGAGTTTAGATTGGACATTGTCCTTACTCTGATGGAACTTAGAGTAGGAAAAGCAATAAAATGATAACATGCATTTTTATATAAAAGTTGCATTAAAAATTTAACACAACAAAGTGTCAAATGAGGAAGGAGGGGGGAAGGTATTAGTAACAAGGAGAATTAGGGAAGGGTTCCTGGAGAGCGTGCTATTTGAATTGGGCTTTAAATGTAGAGTTGTTTAGTAGGTGAAAATAGGCCAACCAAGGTGTGCCAGGCATAGAGAATGGCCCCAATAAAGACTCAGAGACCTGTTCTGGGAACAGATGGTTGACTATAGTTCATGGAATGCCTAGAAGATTATGAGTATTGAAGGTAGTGGCAGACTTTGAAAGGTAGGCAAAAGAATTAGAACTTCCTTTGTAAGGCATTAAGGAACCAGTAAATGTTTTTGAGCAGTGGAATATAAATATATATCTACTATGATTATTTATATATTATGATAAATATATTGTGATATAGTGATATATCACAATATGTAATGATATGTGATGATATATCATAATATGTTATAATATATTGTCATATATAATATATTATGATATAAAATGAAATGTACATATATTACAATATATAATGATACATGTATATGTATGTATGTAAAATTCTGAGTACTCCTGCTAAGTAAACTCCAGTAGCTCCTAAGCACCTCCAGGATCAAATCAAATATAAATTGCTCTGTTTGGCATTCAGATTCCTTCTTAACCTATCCTCTTCCTACCTCTCCAGTCTTCTTAGACCTTACTCCCTAGCACATACTTTTTGATCCGATGACATTGGCCTTCTGGCCGTTCCACAAACAAGACAGTCTATCTCTCAGCTCTGGACATTTTCTCAGACTGTCCCCCAAGCTTGGAATGTTCTCCCTCTGCATCTCTACCTACTGACCTCCCTGTTTTCCTTTAAATCCGAATTAAAATCTCACATTCTATAGGACACCTTTCCTAACCTCTTTTCATTCTAGTCCCTTGCCTTAATTATTTCCTATTTTTCTTGTACGTAACTTGTTTGTCCATATTTTTTTTGTTACTTCCCCCATTATATTGTGAATTCCTTGCGGGCAGGTACTGACTTTTGCTACTTTTTGTATCCCCAGAGCTTAGCGTAGTACTTAGCACATAGTAGATACTTAGTAACTGTTTATTGACTGATTGTATTATATATATATATATATATCTATTATATATGTTTGTATATATATGTATGTATGTGAATTTCAGCTCCCCTCCCCTCTTGGAAAGATTGATCCCTTGTTCATTCAGTGAAGATCACTGAGCACCCACTCCAAGGCATAGTGCTGAATTGTGAGCCGGGTAGACATGGTTTCAAATCTCTCTTCAGACGTTTACTGGCTGTGTTGCTATAGAGAAATTATACAACCTCACTGAACCTCAGGTTCTTTGATGGTTAAATAACAACAATAATTGTGCCTGTTCCCTAGGGTTTCTGTGAAGATCAAATCGGGGGATGATAGAGAAGGGAAAAAGCATTTATTTAGCACCAGGCACTGTACTAAGTGCTTTACAATTATCACCTCATTTGATCCTTACAACCCTGGGAGGTAGATGCTATTATTATTCCCATTTTATAGATGAGGAAATGAGGCAAACAGAGGTTAAGTGACTTGCCCAAGGTCACACAGCTTAGTGAGTATCTGATTCCAGATTTGAACTCAGGTATTCCTGACTCCAGGCCCAGTATTCTCTCTATTGTGCCACCTAGCTGCCTATAGGCACAAGGTAAGAGCAGCAGATTTGAGCTCAGGACTTGCGTTAAAATCCTGGTTCTGCTCCTTAATATCTCTCTGACATTGGGCAAGAAATTTCACTTTTCCCAGACATGATTTCCTCCTCTATAAAATAAAATTCTTAGACTAGATGACCTGTGAGGTCCCTTTGAGCTTTATCACTATGGGAAGGTAGGATGGGGGGTAGTGCTGATAGTGGTGCTTGTTACAGGACACTGAACCAACCTAAAGTTTCTGCTTATAGAGTAGTAGGAGATTATGGGCCAGATTGTGGAGGGCCTTGAACAGCTTCGTCTTGATCCAGCCAACATATAGCAACTGCTGAAAATTTCAGAGCAAGAGAGTAATATAATGAAATCAATATTTTAGGAATGCTTGAAAGAGTTTAGTGGGAGACTGAAAATAAAGAGAAATTGGTTAGCAGGATCATAATCTTCAAAGAATCCAGGAAGAGGGAGGCTTGAAAAAAAGAGGGGAGGGCCAGAGGGATCTGTAATTAGGTTACTGATCACTGTCAAGTGTAGTTTTAGCAGAATGTTGAAGAGACAAGGCAGATTATGAGAGTTTAAGGAGTGAATAATTAGTAAAGAAATGGAAGCAACAGATGTAGACAACTCATTTGAGAGCCTAATGGTGAAAGGAAGAAAAATGGTGGTCATGGCTTGAAGAGACAGGAGAATGAACTGCGGTTTTTTCAGGATAGGGGAGACCTATGCTTGTTTTAAGCAATTAAGGGGAAAGGGACCAGAGGAGTGGAAAAGACAGAATGGTGGGGGGTGGAGAGAGAATTGAGAGGAATCCTATTAAGTGCAGGGTCAGTTTTGCAATGGAAGGAGGACCTCTTCCTACAAGACAGGTGGGAAGGGAGAAAGGATTAGTGGAAAGACAGATATTTTGTGGTGGAGAGGAGAGTAATGAGGGAACTCAAGCTTGATGGTCTGGGAGAACTATGGAAAGAGTTACTCAGTGGTTTTCACTTGATGTGGCCAGTGACCTCATCAGAGTTGCTGCAGAGATTGAAAACCATTGAAATCAGACATATGTAGAGCTCTGCAGGGCCCTTGGCAGGCTGCTGTGCTCATTCCTGGAAGAGAGGAGAATGAGCAATGATTCTGTTCAAATTGTATGTACCATAACCTCTGGCAAAGAATTCTCCTGGGTATTGATTTGGTCTTTCTATCATGAAATCCCTGGACATTTCCCCCTCCAAGGTCAGTGAGTATTTTTCCAGCCTATGAGAAAAGGAATACCAGTATGGGTGCTAGTCCCTGCTCTTTCATTATTAGCTGGGTAACTTTGAGGAACCCACTTTTCCTTCCTAGGCCTCAGTTCTCTCAACTGTAAAATAAGGTAATTAGATCAGATCAAAGATCCTTAACCTGGGGTCTAAGGACCCCAAAGTAGTCTGTGGATAAACCTCAAGGGTGTCTGAGAACTTGTTTTTTTTT